CTGAGCTAACATTGATGTAAGACAATACCCTTAACAATAACCGCATCTGAGCCCTCCTATTCCAGGTCAAATGGATTATCTCATTCCTGGAGTGAAAGGATCCCAGACACAAAACATATTTCAGACATTTGTGAAAATGGGAGGCCTAGGAGTAATTCTTGGCAAGGTAAGTGTGAACCTCTGTGCTAGCCACAGTGGAAACCAGGCTCTGGGCCATTGCTGCTCTGCTGAAAGTTTAGCTGATCTTAGGACAGCAGCATGACTCCTTAAAATTATGCTAGTAGTTATTAACCTGGAATTGGGATTTAGCAGCACCCTACACAGGTACCTTTTTTGCATAATAGTTTGACACATAGAAATGATGTTTAGTTTCTTCCATTCCTCCGGTGTGAGCTAACGGAAAAAAAAGGAAGAGGTCTATTCACTCTTGCCAGCTTCTCTGATTTTTATCAGGCAGTGTTTAGTGTTTTTCTTGGAGTATAGTGATTTTCTCAAATGGAAGCTGAAATTAAAGAGATTTTGCTCTGGACAGTTGCAGCAAAAAGTAGAGAAAGATCACCTAAGTGTCAAGTTTACCTGGTCTGAGTTAAATCAAGAGAGACTGACCAGTGATTTTTAAATGGCTAAAGCTAATGAGGAAGTGACTCTTTTGCTGAGGCTGCAAGAAGAATATACAGTTTGGCATGGGACGCAGGTGAGTTTCAAGTTGTTTTACTGTCTGTCTTTATCCTTTGATTTCTTTCAGGTAATATAGGAGGCAACAGAAAGAAAGTCAGAGGCAAAAGATTTAGGCCACGTTCTAATTCAACTGAGTAAGTCTGAACATACAAAAACAAAGCCAAAAAGTACAGTTTTCATATTTGTGTTTTGTAGATGGAGATTAAGAGTATTGAAAAGTAGACAGCTGCATTTTTGCTCTGCAGTTCATTCTGATTGCTGGCTGATAATCTGGCTAATGTATTTCAACCTCTTTTTATATATTCTTTAAAAATTAACTATCAATTTTCTTTTTTTATGTAGGCTTCCTCACAGTCGTTCCCATAGCAATTCCCAATGATGGTGGCAGCCTGCACCATCACTGCAGGCTTTTGTAAAACTGCAGTAAACTGCCATTGCTGAGTATATCCTGGTTCAATACTGAATTTCTGATAACCTCTTTCCTACCCTTGTCTTCATCTTGGGTTGGGCCATTGCAGAGTTAGAGATTTGTATCTCTGTGTACCTGCCTGGAGGTTCTAGAAGAGGTATCTGTCTGCTTTGAGAGCGCCCTAAAGTTTATTGTTGTAAGCCTGAAGCAGCCAGTCTTGAGTAAGCCCTGCGCTAAATGGGTAGTGAAAGTCCTTGTCAAGCAACTGATTTCCAGAGCTTTCCAATATGGTCTAGAGTTGTTTTCTGTATTGATTTGTTGGCTACATTTACTGAAGAGCCCATGTATGCAGTGCTTTCCA